GAAGTGTGGGTGAGTGAGTGAGTGAGTGAGTGGACATGCGGGTGAGTGAGTGAGTGGCAGTGCGGGTGAGTGAGTGAATGGCAGTGCGGGTGAGTGGAAGTGGGGGTGAGTGGGAGTGAGGGTGAGTGGAAGTGAGGATGAGTGGGAGTGAGTGGGAGTGGGGGTGAGTGGAAGTCGGGGTGAGTGAAAGTGGGGGTGAGTGGGGGTGAGTGGAAGTGGGGGTGAGTGGAAGTCGGGGTGAGTGGGAGTGGGGGTGAGTGGAAGTCGGGGTGAGTGGGAGTGGGGGTGAGTGGAAGTGGGGGTGAGTGGAAGTGAGGGTGAGTGGAAGTGGGGGTGGGTGGACGTGAGGGTGAGTGGAAGTGAGGGTGAGTGTAAGTGAGGGTGAGTGGGAGTGAGTGGGAGTGGGAGTGGGGGTGAGTGGGAGTGGGGGTGAGTGGGGGTGAGTGGAAGTGGGGGTGAGTGGGGGTAAGTGCAAGTGAGGGTGAGTGGAAGTGGGAGTGAGTGGAAGTGCGGGTGAGTGGAAGTGCGGGTGAGTGGAAGTGAGGGTGAGTGGGGGTGGGGGTTAGTGGGAGTGAGTGGAAGTCGGGGTGAGTGGGAGTGAGGGTGAGTGGAAGTGAGGGTGAGTGGGGGTGGGGGTTAGTGGGAGTAGGGGTGAGTGGGAGTGGGGGTGAGTGGGAGTGAGTGGGGGTGAGTGCAAGTGGGGGTGAGTGGGAGTGGGAGTGGGTTTGAGTGGGAGTGATTGGAAGTCGGGGTGAGTGGGAGTGGGGGTGAGTACAAGTGGAGGTGAGTGGAAGTGGGGTGAGTGCAAGTCAGGGTGAGTGGGAGTGAGTGTAAGTGGAGGTGAGTGGAGGTGAGTGGAAGTGGGGGTGAGTGGGAGTGGGGGTGAGTGGGAGTGGGGGTGAGTGGAAGTCGGGGTGAGTGGAAGTGAGTTAGTGAGTGAGTGGGAGTGGGGGCGAGTGGGAGGGAGGGTGAGTGTAAGTGAGGGTGAGTGGAAGTCGGGGTGAGTGGGAGTGAGGGTGAGTGGAAGTGAGGGTGAGTGGGGGTGGGGGTGAGTGGGAGTGGGGCTGAGTGGGAGGGTGAGTGTAAGTGAGGGTGAGTGGAAGTGGGAGTGAGTGGGAGTGAGTGGGGGTGAGTGGGAGTGAGGGTGATTGGAAGTCGGGGTGAGTGGAAGTGGGGGTGAGTGGGAGTGGGCGTGAGTGGAAGTGGGGGTGAGTGGAAGTGGGGGTGAGTGGAAGTGGGGGTGGGTGGAAGTGGGGGTGAGTGGAAGTCGGGGTGAGTGGAAGTGAGTTAGTGAGTGAGTGGGAGTGGGGGTGAGTGGAAGTGAGGGTGGGTGGAAGTGGGGGTGAGTGGAAGTGGGGGTGAGTGGAAGTGAGTTAGTGAGTGAGTGGGAGTGGGGGTGAGTGGAAGTGAGGGTGGGTGGAAGTGGGGGTGAGTGGAAGTGGGGGTGAGTGAGTGAGTGAGTGGAAGTTCGGGTGAGTGAGTGGACATGCGGGTGAGTGAGTGAGTGAGTGGACATGCGGGTGAGTGAGTGAGTGAGTGGCAGTGCGGGTGAGTGGAAGTGACGGTGAGTGGGAGTGATGGTGAGTGGAAGTGAGGGTGAGTGGGAGTGAGTGCGAGTGGGGGTGAGTGGAAGTCGGGGTGAGTGAAAGTGGGGGTGAGGGAGGGTGAGTGGGAGTGGGGGTGAGTGGAAGTGACGGTGAGTGGGAGTGGGGGTGAGTGGAAGTGGGGGTGAGTGGAAGTGGGGGTGAGTGGGGGTGAGTGGAAGTCGGGGTGAGTGGGGGTGAGTGAAAGTGGGGGTGAGTGGGAGTGGGGGTGAGTGGAAGTGGGGATGAGTGGAAGTGAGGGTGAGTGGAAGTGGGGGTGGGTGGACGTGAGGGTGAGTGGAAGTGAGGGTGAGTGGAAGTGAGGGTGAGTGGGAGTGAGTGGGAGTGGGGGTGAGTGGAAGTAAGGGTGAGTGGGGGTGAGTGGAAGTGGGGGTGAGTGGGGGTAAGTGCAAGTGAGGGTGAGTGGAAGTGGGAGTGAGTGGAAGTGCGGGTGAGTGGAAGTGAGGGTGAGTGGAAGTCGGGGTGAGTGGGAGTGAGGGTGAGTGGAAGTGAGGGTGAGTGGGGGTGGGGGTTAGTGGGAGTGAGTGGGGGTGAGTGCAAGTGGGGGTGAGTGGGAGCGGGTTTGAGTGGGAGTGGGGGTGATTGGAAGTCGGGGTGAATGGAAGTGGGGGTGAGTGCAAGTAGAGGTGAGTGGAAGTTGGGTGAGTGCAAGTCGGGGTGAGTGGGAGTGAGTGTAAGTGGAGGTGAGTGGAGGTGAGTGGAAGTGGGGGTGAGTGGGAGTGGGGGTGAGTGGGAGTGGGGGTGAGTGGAAGTCGGGGTGAGTGGAAGTGAGTTAGTGAGTGAGTGGGAGTGAGGGTGAGTGTGAGGGTGAGTGTAAGTGAGGGTGAGTGGAAGTGGGAGTGAGTACAAGTGAGGGTGAGTGGGAGTGAGTGGGGGTGAGTGGGAGTGAGGGTGAGTGGAAGTCGGGGTGAGTGGAAGTCGGGGTGAGTGGAAGTCGGGGTGAGTGGAAGTCGGGGTGAGTGGGAGTGAGTGTAAGTGGGGGTGAGTGGGAGTGGGGGTGAGTGGGAGTGGGGGTGAGTGGGAGTGGGGGTGAGTGGAAGTGGGGGGTGAGTGGAAGTGGGGGTGAGTGGAAGTCGGGGTGAGTGGGAGTGAGTGTAAGTGGGGGTGAGTGGGAGTTAGTTAATGAGTGAGTGGGAGTGAGTGGGAGTGGGGGTGAGTGGGAGTGGGGGTGAGTGGGAGTGGGTTTGAGTGGGAGTGGGGGTGATTGGAAGTCGGGGTGAGTGGGAGTTAGTTAGTGAGTGAGTGGGAGTGAGTGTAAGTGGAGGTGAGTGGAAGTGGGGGTGAGTGGGAGTGTGGGTGAGCGGAAGTCGGGGTGAGTGGGAGTGGAAGTGGGTTTGAGTGGGGGTGAGTGGGAGTGGGGGTGAGTGCAAGTGGGGGTGAGTGGAAGTGGGGGTGAGTGGGAGTGGGAGTGGGTTTGAGTGGGAGTGGGAGTGATTGGAAGTCGGGGTGAGTGGGATTGGGGGTGAGTGCAAGTGGAGGTGAGTGGAAGTGGGGTGAGTGCAAGTCGGGGTGAGTGGGAGTGAGTGTAAGTGGAGGTGAGAGGAGGTGAGTGGAAGTGGGGGTGAGTGGGAGTGGGGGTGAGTGGGAGTGGGGGTGAGTGGAAGTCGGGGTGAGTGGAAGTGAGTTAGTGAGTGAGTGGGAGTGAGGGTGAGTGTGAGTGTAAGTGAGGGTGAGTGGAAGTGGGAGTGAGTAGAAGTGAGGGTGAGTGGGAGTGAGTGGGGGTGAGTGGGAGTGAGGGTGAGTGGAAGTCGGGGTGAGTGGAAGTCGGGGTGAGTGGGAGTAAGTGTAAGTGGGGGTGAGTGGGAGTGGGGGTGAGTGGGAGTGGGGGTGAGTGGAAGTTAGTTAGTGAGTGGGAGTGACTGGGAGTGGGGGTGAGTGGGAGTGAGGGTGAGTGGGAGTGGGGGTGAGTGGGGGTGAGTGGGAGTGAGGGCGAGTGGGGGTGAGTGGAAGTCGGGGTGAGTGTAAGTGGAGGTGAGTGCAAGTGGGGGTGAGCGGGAGTGCGGGTGAGTGGAAGTGAGGGTGAGTGGGAGTGGAGGTGAGTGCAAGTGGGGGTGAGTGGGAGTGAGGGTGAGTGTAAGTGAGTGGAAGTGATGGTGAGCGGAAGGGGGGTGAGTGGAAGTGAAGGTGAGTGGGAGTGGGGGTGAGTGGGAGTGGGGGTGAGTGGAAGTGGGGGTGAGTGCAAGTGAGTTAGTGAATGAGTGGAAGTGGGGGTGAGTGGAAGTGGGGGTGAGTGAGTGAGTGGAAGTGCGGGTGAGTGAGTGAGTGGACATGCGGGTGAGTGAGTGAGTGGCAGTGCGGGTGAGTGAGTGGCAGTGGGGGTGAGTGGGAGTGAGGGTGAGTGGAAGTGAGGGTGCGTGGGAGTGAGTGGAAGTCGGGGTGAGTGAAAGTGGGGGTGAGTGGGGGTGAGTGGAAGTCGGGGTGAGTGGAAGTGGGGGTGAGTGGAATTGGGGGTGAGTGGGAGTGGTGGTGAGTGGGGGTGAGTGGAAGTAAAGGTGAGTGGGGGTGAGTGGAAGTGGGGGTGAGTGGGAGTGGGGGTGAGTGGAAGTGGGAGTGAGGGTGAGTGGAAGTGGGGGTGAGTGGGATTGAGTGGGAGTGGGGGTGAGTGGGGGTGAGTGGAATTGCGGGTGAGTGAGTGAGTGGACGTGCGGGTGAGTGAGTGAGTGGACGTGCGGGTGAGTGAGTGAGTGGCAGTGCGGGTGAGTGAGTGAGTGGCAGTGCGGGTGAGTGAGTGGACGTGCGGGTGAGTGAGTGAGTGGACGTGCGGGTGAGTGGCAGTGCGGGTGAGTGAGTAGCAGTGCGGGTGAGTGAGTGAGTGGCAGTGCGGGTGAGTGAGTGAGTGGACGTGCGGGTGAGTGAGTGAGTGAGTGGCAGTGCGGGTGAGTGAGTGAGTGAGTGGACGTGCGAGTGAGTGAGTGGCAGTGCGGGTGAGTGAGTGAATGGCAGTGCGGGTGAGTGAGTGGCAGTGCGGGTGAGTGAGTGGCAGTGCGGGTCAGTGAGTGTAAGTGGGGGTCAGTGAGTGTAAGTGGGGGTGAGTGAGTGGACGTGGGGGTGAGTGAGTGGACGTGGTGGTGAGTGAGTGGCAGTGCGGGTGAGTGTGTGAGTGGAAATGCGAGGGAGCAGTTCGCGCGCTGCGCTACGAACCTGGGGTGATCACTTCTCGTGAGAACGACTGTAAGCAAACGCCAGAGGCTCACGGAGAACCAACATAGCAGCGAATAACCAACGAACGGTCGTAGCAGTGGTATTAGTTGGTATTATTACTACGAAACAACAAATACTACTACCGCGACAGTGGGCTGGAAGTCGCTATATCCATGCACCTCCCAGAGCCGTTCGCAGCCCTGCAGGCAGGGGTATAGGGACTTCCCGCCCGGCGCGCATCAGTTTGGCCCTTACCGGGTGCCTTCCCGCGACGGAGTCGTCCACTCGAGCCAGCCCGATGCTCACCATCGCTCAGTGATGACGGTAGCGAGTGAAGTTGTCACCTGCGCCGCCACGAGCACTGTCGGTACTGTTGTCGGTACTGCCTTGGGGAGTGTGAGACGCGCACGCGGCTCCAATCACTCGCACGATCGCTGCCGGCAGCCGTGACGGGAGAGATGGAGGCACGTGGGAGGCGCGGAGACGATGCCAACACGGAGGAGTTTCCTCCAAACTTCGGAGGCAGAGTTCAGAGAAAGTAAATATTGTACCAAATGTTTTGTTTAAAGTCGAGGAGGAATTCGATGATATACGAAGTTCTCTGTCGCAAGATGTCCAGTTGGGGCACGGGGTCAGGAAGTTACAAGAACAAACAATTGTGTATGGCGATACTGAACCTGTACGTTCAGGAGCCAAATGCCAATGTTTGAGGTCTGCTCGCTACGAAAAGGCACCGGGAAGAGAGTTCGTAGAGTTTTGTTGTTCCTCTTTCATCGAATTAGCGCAGATTACAGTGGACTTATATTATTTGGGCACCAGTGGCGAGATGTTAATTACCATGCCTGGTATACAGGAGGTCGTGAGTTCAATCTCGAACCTGACACTTGCTGCATATTTGGAGTTTGCGTGTCTCTCTCCCCGTGGTGGCGTGGATTTGTTTCCTTCCACGTTTAAAATCAACGCGCGTTTAGAGTATTTGGCTGCTGTACATTTCCACGTGATAAGCCACTTCGTTGAGCTATCAAATGTGATGGCCCGGTCGCTTCTGAAAATAACTATATAGCTCAGTGGGCCTTACCTAGTAAACGAAAAATAGTTTAGTTTAAATTTCGATTTAAAGCTTTCGTGACTGCAGGGATTCATCTTCTTGGTTCTTTCGGTAAAGTCACGTAGAAGGGAAGTAATAAAATAATAAATATAAAACATAATAAAACAATTCTCACGACGTTTCGGCCACAACGCAAGCAGCCGGTCCTCAGGTGAAAACCAGGTCTGTCGAGGCGACAGCGTCTGAATGAAACAGCACACGTGCTTGGAGCATATATATGTAAAGTAGGAGCCGACACCAGATTGCAGGGGTCTCGTCCTTTATTCCTTTCCTTCCATCCACACCTGTCCTCCAGCCGTCCCAATATCGTTCCCGCCAAAGGCCCCTTCTTCCCGCCCGTTCTCTCCTTATATCTCCTCGATCACCCCTCCCACTAACCCATCTATTGGTGGGAACCCTTCCGCTGACACCCCTACATCACCCCCCCCCCCCCCCCCCCCCCCCCCGGAGAAAAAATAACCGTCCTCGGTTCTGCCTCCCCCATGGACCATTTAAATCTCCCCATGCCTCCCACCACTGACAGTGACGACAGCCCTTACCCCCCCCACAACCATACAATGCAACATAACACAACGAAATCAATTGCGCGGCCTGCCCAGGTCTCCAGCCAGCATCCCGTAACAGCCCGGACATCCACAGGCAGCAGATGACCGTGGCGGCCCCCTCCTTCGAAGGGCCTCTCGTCGCGGTCCCTGGTTCGGTGGTGCCGGTGTCGCCTTGCCTGGCGCCGCTGTCTCTCCGGCCCCCGCTCGTGCTGCCGCTCCGTCAGGCCTCACATGGGGTGCTGTAGGTGACAACGGAACACAGGGCACCGAACCCCCTGCCGGTTGGCGCGTGGTGGTCGGCGACCTTGGCCTGGGTAGGGATGATGATGATGTTGGCAGTGATGTTGGTGGTGATGTTGGTGAAGATGACGGTGGAGAGATGTATGGCTTAAGGCGGGTGGGGTGTACAAACCATCGTCGCTTACCCAGTTGGACCTGGACGCACTGCGGTCGGAGTGCTTTAATGACCTCGACTGGCCCTTTCCAGGGTCGGTGCAGCTTTGGTGAGAGGCCAACCGGCACCTGAGGACAGTGTAGCCATGCCTGGTTCCCGACTTTAAAGGGCTTGGCTGTCACTGTCCTCTCCCGTATCCGTACATTACTCTCTTGGCTCGTGGCCGATGCGGCCTCGGCTGCTTGGCGGGCCTCTCTCAAATAAATGAAGGAGGTCTTTAGTGCCTTCGGCCATGCGTCGGCTCTTGCGGGAATGTCCGTCAGCTGCACCTCAATAGGCGGAACGGGATCCCATCCGTACATCAGGAAAAACGGCGAGAACCCTGTCGCCGCGTGTGGGGCCACCCTGTACGCCGCTAAGACAGATGGAATGTGGAGGTCCCAGTCGGAATGGTTTTCGTCCACCACTTGGGACAGCATGGCCGCTATGGTGTGGTTAAGCCGCTCTACCATCCCATCGGTCTGGGGATGATACGGAGATGTTCGGACCTTTTTAGTGCCCAGGATAGAGCAGACGTCCTTCAATAGCTGTGAGGAGAAATTCCTGCCCTGATCCGTGAGCAACCGCTCCGGTGCCCCCTTATCAAGGACATAGCCTCCCACGAAGGCATCGGCGATGGTCTGTGCCGTTTGGTCCGGGAGGGCCCACGCCATCGGCCACCTCGTGCAGTACTCGACTCTGACCAACAGGTATTTATTTCCTTGTGGCGTGACCGGCAGTGGTCCCAGGATGTCCAACGCAACCAATTCGTTGACCCTGGTCACCGTGATGGGCTGTAGGGGCGCCCGGCTTACCCGGGGTGGCGGCTTTCGCCGCGCACATTCGACGCAGGTAGCGACCCATCGATGCACGTCAGCGGTCATACCTGGCCAAAAGTACCGACTCTGTAATGTGTACAGTGTCTTCCGCCCCGCCAGGTGCAGCAGCTGGCGGCCGTGTACGTCCATAACCAATTGTTGACGCAGCGACTCCGGAACTACCAGGCATCGTCGGCGCCCTGTCGGGTCCCATCGCATGAGGAGGTCCTCCCATACGATGTAATCCTCCCCCCCTGCCTCTGCTGAGGCGCGTAGCGTTCGCAGTGGGGCTTCCTCCAGCTGTAGCCGTCGCCAATCGTCCAAGGTCAGCCCCAGGTCGTGGTCGGTCAGCTGGACCTCACCCTGTGCGTCCTCTGCCGTGCGTACGGGAGCGATGACTGTCCCCTCCGGCCTCGCCTCCTTGCAGCGTGCCCCGCCTGTGGTGCATGCACAAGGGCCCTGGGGCGCCAGTCGGGACAATGCGTCTGCGTTGGCATGTCTGGTCCCTTTGCGATGCACTACTTGGTACCTGTACTCCTGCAGGCGCTCTATCCATCTGGCCAGCTGGCCCGAAGGCTGGTCGATGCGGAGCGAATACTGCAAGGCCGCGTGGTCAGTGCGGACCGTAAATTTGCGACCATACAGGTAGGGTCGAAATTGCTGCACGAAGTGAACGACTGCCAGGAGTTCCCTACGTGTGACGCAGTAGCGCTGCTCCGCTGATGTAAGCACGCGACTACCATAGGCGATAACCACCTCGCGACCCTGCTGGACTTGCGACAAAACACTGCCGATGCCCACATCGCTGGCGTCCGTGTCCAGGATAAAGGGGAGGCCAAAATCCGGAAAGGCCAATGGTGGTGCATCTGTCAGACGTGAGCGCAGCTGCTGGAATGCCTCTTCCTCCAGAGGGCCCCAATAAAACCTCTGGTTCTTCGCCGTCAACACGTGCAAGGGCTTGGCAATGGTTGCGAAGCTGGGTACGAACCGGCGGTAATAAGAAACGAAACCCACAAACCGGCGTACCTCTGGAACCGTTGTGGGAACAGCCCAGGCCCTCACGCAGGCCGTCTTTTCCGGGTCTGTAGCCACTCCAGACTCACTGACAACGTGGCCCAAGTAGCGTACCGACGACTGCATAAGGTGGCACTTCGACGGCTTGAGCTTCAAGTTCGCGTTCCGGAACCGCAGGAATACCTGACGTAATCGGTCAATGTGTTCCTCGAATGATCGGCTGAAGACAATGACGTCATCCAGGTAGATGAGGCACGTTTCCCATTGGAGGCCTGCTAAGGCCAACTCCATTATGCGTTGGAACGTCGCCGGCGCAGTCTGGAGGCCCATAGGCAGGCAGTTGAACTCGAACAGGCCCTGTGGTGTCTGGAACGCTGTTTTAGGCCGGGAGTCCGCGTCTAGTGGGACCTGCCAGAACCCGGACAATAAATCCAGCGTACTGAAAAATTTTGCTCCCGCCAGTGCATCCAATGAGTCGTCAATACGTGGTAGGGGATATGCGTCGGCCAGCGTGACGGCATTGAGGCGTCGGAAGTCCACACAGAATCTCAGTGACCCGTCTGACTTCTTGACTAGGACCACCGGTGCCCCCCAGGGACTCGAGGATGGAGAAATTATGTCGGCCCGCAGCATCTCCTGCACCGCTTGTTGAATGTGCCCTTTTTCCATTGGGCTCATTCTATATGTGTTTTGGCGCAGGGGTGCGGCATCTCCCGTGTTAATGTGGTGCTGCGACAGATTTGTGCACCCTAGGTCGAACGGTCCCCGGCTGAACACGTCCGAGAACTCATGCAATAACGAGTGCAGCTGCTGTTTCTGGTCGGGCGGCAATCCCGGCTCAGGCCCCGCCAGCTGGTCCATCCACGATTCGGCCCCTCTGTCCTCGGACTGGCTGATGCTGCCTACAAGCTCGGGCTTTGTCCCTGGGGCTCCTAGTGACAAGGGACTAACGTGGGCCAGAACTGTTCCCTCCTGCACCGTCGCTGTTCTATCGGAGGTGTTCAGCACCTGAATGAACAGATGCTGGTTCCTCTGTACAATAGTTTCGGCTCCCACCAGCGCATGGCGATCCATGGCAGCTGACGCCGGAGACACCAGGATGGGTGAGTCTGGTCGGGCTGTCACGAGGGGAGACCGATATTGCAGCGGAATCAGCATCTGGGCTGCCGGGGGAATGGAGACAGACTTACTGACCAGAGCCTGCACGTAGGCTGGCCCCCTCCGCCTTTAGGAAATGGAGATGCGTTCCCTGGACTTCCACCCGCCCATTGGCCAGATCGATTTTCATTGGCATCCGCCTCAGAAAGTCCGTCCCCAACAGGCAGGGTACGGGCAACGTTGCAGAGACAAGGATGGGTCCTGCTACCGAGAGCTGCCCAATCTGTATCGGGGCTTCAACCTGGCCCAGGAAGCCCATGCTGCCTCCATTTGCTGCAATGAACGTTGTCTTGACAGGGACTAAAGGTCGGATTTTATCCGGCAGCATCTCGTGCATGGTGCTCGAGATGATCGTGGCTGATGCCCCCGTATCCACCAAGATACGTGCCGACACTCCCGCGATTTCACCGACCAGGACCGAGGTTCCCGACGTGGCCGCTACCACCCGCCTTGCCAGCTTCCTCCATTGTGTGGCTGAGTCCGGCCACTGACCAGGCGGCGTCTCGTTATCCTGTGGTGCATGGTGAAATGATGGGGGATGGATGTGAATGGACTGAAGATGGGGTTCCTCCCTTTGGAGTGCGTCGCAGCAGGGTGAGCGCG